GGGGACGTGAGACAGGGGACGCGGGGGTGTGGGATGTGAGGGCGTGGGGACAAAGAGACGCGGGACGTGGGGATGCGGGGATGTGAGACATGGGACGGGGGGACATGGGACGGGGGGACACGGGGATGTGGGGGCACAGGGACATGGGACACGGACCTTGGGGGGACGTGGGACGTGGGAATGTGGGATGTGGAGACACGGGGATGTGGGACCTGGGGACATGGGGATGTGGGGGCACAGGGACATGGGACACGGACCTTGGGGACACAGGGACATGGGGACATGGGGACATGAGACGGGGGGACATGGGGATGTGGGGGCACAGGGACATGGGACATGGACCTTGGGGACACAGGCATGTGGGACATGGGATGTGGGAATGTGGGATGTGGAGACACGGGGATGTGGGACCTGGGGACATGGGGATGTGGGGGCACAGGGACATGGGACACGGACCTTGGGGACGTAGGGACGTGGGGACGTGAGGACATGAGACGTGGGACCTGGGGATGTGAGACATGGGACGGGGGGACATGGGGATGTGGGGGCACAGGGACATGGGACATGGACCTTGGGGACACAGGGACATGGGGACGTGGGAATGTGGGATGTGGAGACACGGGGATGTGGGACCTGGGGACATGGGGACGTGAGGATGCAGGACGTGGGGACACAGGGACATGGGGTGTGGGGATGCAGGGACATGGGATGTAGGGAACGGGAGGTGGGGACACAGGGAGGTGGATGTGGGGGCATGGGGTTTGGGATGTGGGACGCGGGGACGTGGGATGTACAGACGTGGGGACGCGGGGCGCGGGGACACAGGGAGGTGGGACTCGGGGACACGGGGATGTGGGGTGCAGGGCACAGGGAGGTGGGGACGTGGAGACGTGGGGACAGGGGGATGTGGGGATGCGGGTACATGGCACGTGGAGCGTGGGGACATGGGGCCGCGGGGCCGCGGCGCGCAGCTCACCCTGACGGCCGGGGACAGGGCGGGGTGCTGGGGA